AAAGTATTGATTTAAAATGAGCAGTTAGATTTTCTGTAATGACATTTATTAGAGTTGACCTCCCCAAAAATTGAAGGAATGACTATATCGTATTAAAATAATGTTTAATTTATAAATTTAGTCTAGCTGTTTCAGTTTATATACATATCAAGGCTGCCCAAAACTTTGCTCCAAAATAGAAATCTATCCAAGGGCTGCAACCAAATGTAATAATATAATTCATGAAATACAAATACTTCTTCCTTTTATTTTAATGATTATGTCCTGCTGGAGTGTGACAATTTGTTTGTGCACAAACTAATATGGTATCAGAATTTTATATATTTATACCTCTCATTCAGCCACAATTAAATTCACTCTATCTAGGAGGCATAATTTATATGGATAGTATTTATTTTTTACAATAAGCAGCTGGAATGAAAACAACCAAAACTGAAATAAAATTAACAACTTTCTACTTCTTGCCTTTTTCAAAAATGTAAGAAGTAGAAAGTACAGATAACTGTGTGAAAATGTAAGAAGTAGAAGTAAAACGTAGACTGAATAATAATTACTCAAGTAAAGTACAGATACACAAAAATTCCACTTAAGTACAGTAACAAAGTATTTGTACTTAGTTACTTTACAACTCTGATTTTCAATCGGTTAGACTGTGGCCACCACAGACAACTGACCTTAACAAAAAACACACAATGGCTGTAAGTCAGTCTGTTTTACAGCTACTGATTTAAAATATGATTTGATAGTATAAAGTTAGTCACACTGCATACAGAGCACGAGTTTGTGCTTAATTAATTTTTTTAGCTTTGATCTTAAGACGACCTAAGTTTAAAGTAATAGCGTGGAAAATTGTGGGCAACATTCTTATTTGTTTATTAGACTATTTTTTTCTGGGGTCCACAAAAAACACAACTGTACACACAATCAACCCATCAACATCAAAAGCCAAAGATGACTTCATTTTAAGTTTCTGACAGCTTTTTATAGATCTAATCTTATCAGTCAACACATCAGGCTCTGAGCACAGCTGGATGTCTGTTCTCTTGTTTGTCCTGGTTCTAAAATCACAGCCAAGTTGCAGCTTTGTTCTCGACTATTTGCTATTTTTCCAGATTTTATCTTGTAGCACCAAACCACTGAACATTAATCAAGGTGACGCAAAACTACAGTCTGCACCATCGTCCTTATTTCAGGAGACATAAAATGAACATTACACTGATTTACTGAAATATTTCTACTCATTTTATAAGAAATTACAACGTTCACATTAAATTGCTTCAAAGACGAACAAAAACAGAAGCATCATTCTCTGCTCTCTGCAGGTGAAGGAGCTGGGAGTGGTGGTCTACAACTGCTCTGGTCTGGCCAATGATCTCCATAAGATCTTCCAGTCCTACTGGGAGATGGGGCACCCCAACAGCTCGCTGCCTCGGCCCTGGCCTGCCAAGTTCCACACTGACATCAACAAACAGCACCCCCTGCTGGTGGAAGAGGGTGAAACCACCAGCGGCGTTTACTTGGCTGTAAAGAGAGCTCTTACTTCCTTTTACCACAGGGTGCTTTTGTTTCCACGAACAAAGAAGTTGTTGTTGCTGAGAGTTTCTGATAATGAAGTGAAAGTTTAATTTATTTTAGTCACCTCAACCACAAATGAGGATCAGAAGTGCTTCTTGTTTTGCTCCATCTCAGGCTTCTCCGCCGTCATTCTGCCCTCGATCCAGGACTCAGGACCTGGAGGCGATTCTCTCCTCCATCTCAGAGGCTGAGAGGTTTATAGACGTTGCTGTCATGGAGTATTTTCCCGCCACGTGCTACGAAGAGCCTCGCAAGTGAGCCTAAAATGATTAAAAAAGAAGCAGCTGTTTGTTTGATGTCCTCACGCTGGAGTGTTTACAGATACTGGCCAGTCATAGATGATGTGCTCAGGACGGCTGCGTTTGACAGGAAGGTCCAGGTCAGGATGCTGATCAGCTGCGGCCTGAGCTCAGACCCAGCGATGCTGCCTTTTCTTCAGTCTCTGGCCTCCATGGATTACCCTGAACGTCAAATCAGCATCCAAATAGTAAGGCGTCGCATAGAAAAACCTGCTCAATATCTGTTAAATGAGAGCTGTATTACAGTTAATCTCATTTTATTTATTGTAGAAACTGTACATCATCCCAGTGGGAAATCAGTCTGATATTCCATTTACCAGAATCAATCATAATAAATACATGGTGACGGACAAAACTGCATATATTGGTGAGTTATTTAGATAAATTTTTATTCCTCATACGTGAGCTTTAACTAAATCCGAGGTAAACAACGAGCGAATGCTGCTGTTTTGCAACGCAGGTACGTCCAACTGGGCAGGAGATTATTTTCTGACCACAGGTGGAGTGGGTTTGGTGGTTTCGCAGCCCACTTCTCACTCTGCGTGGAACACCGGGACCCTGCAGAGCCAGCTGAAGGAGACCTTTAACAGGGACTGGGACTCAGAATACGCCGTGTACCTGAACGAATCTCGACCCAACCCAGATTGTGCCCTCCTAAGATGACCAAAGCTCCTGTAAGAAGGGTTGCATTCATCATCACAGCGGCTTGTTTTTGTAAATTTCTTGTCAGAATTAGCAGTTAGTGGCTTTTTTTTTATTAATGGATGCTTTAGATTAAAGTTTTATACATTTATAAATACAAGGATTTTCTGTTTTGGCTATATTTTTCAGTATGTTTTCTTATTAACTGTATGTAAATATACTGTATTATGATGTCTAATTCATTTTTAAGGATTTAATCCTGGTGCTTCCAATAGATCAGACAGATGTTGGAGAAAAAACAAAAAACTGAGTTTATTTCAACCAAAAGTGGCTGACAACCACAGATTTTTTTAATTAAAGTAGAAATTCCAGGAATGTTTTTGCATGTTTTTAAATATTCTTTATGCTTTGCATATGTTGCATTTTTTAAAATAAAATATTAAAATAAAAACGTTGATTAATTTCTAGTCTGAAACCTGGGACGGTGGTATCAGTTTTTTTTCTATTCTATTTATTATTCTAATGACGGCTTATTATTGCATATTTACCTCAGCAAACTGTGTATGAGCTATGTTCACAACACTTACTTTAATAAAAATATCCCTAATAAATAGTCAAATTTTTTTTTGCTAAAAACACTGAATTCACTTTGCAATTTCTTTAGAAAACCAAAAAGAACCAAGTAGAAAAATGCATAAATGAAGTAGCCTATGTCAATTCTCAGCAATGAGAACAAATAATATCGGTACATTTATAAACTCAATGTACAGTCTAAATCTTTATCCACTGATATCAAAACCTACAAGAATCTCATTGTGCCACAATAATCGATCATATTTTCACAAATAACAAAAAGAGAGATAATAGGTATCTTAATTTCTGATGTAAGTGATCATCTACCAGTTTTCATAATTTATAAAAATGATCAATACAACACAAAAGTAGATACAATTAAGAAAAAAAGAATTGAGACACTATGGATAGTTTAAAGGATGATTAAAACAAAACTAGACAGATGTGTATGTTAGCAATGTGTACATGATGCTTTCATGAATATTTTAGGATGTATGCAAAAAACTACACAAAGCAAGATATTCATAACACATGGATGACCATAGTTCTGGAAAATGCTTGTAAAAGATAATATAAAAACAAGTTGGTTTGTATTATATGAAAGCACAGGAAGGAGTACTATAAATAAATCTTACCTTTGGTATGATGTCACAGTAACTGGAGTGTCTTCACATATTTATAAATGAAAGTGAATACGAAAGTAATATTGCAGATCGATCATTTTGTTTTCAAAATATTAAGAAAATTAACGTTTTACTCTAGCTGGTTGTAATTTAATTCTCTTATTTGGCTTAATATGATCTCTGCAAGCTGAAATCAGGGTGAAGTGTCTTTGGGTTCTGGATGTAAAAACATTAAGTTCCTCCTGAAAACTGATACAAAGACCGTCTATTTGACTGAGGACTCACTCAGACATAATTAACAGCAGAAATTTTAAAAAGTAAACTTTTAGCTTTTTCTTTGCTTGTCTGAAACAACACCAAGCAGCTGAAACTTCACTTTTTACTTGATGACAATTGATCCAGTGTTTAATACAACTATTGGAAATCAAGTGTTGTACCGTCAAAAAAACAGATTTAAATCATTTTCAGATCTTTAAATAACATCGTTAAATACTTGGATTATTTTAATAAATATTTGACATCTGATCTGATTCAGAACAAATCTGGTCGAGTTTCAACACGAGTGATTTTTGCAAACTTTCTGCTCCAATTTRGCCAATTCAGGGTTTTAGCTAACTACATATAAATTCATGCTAAATAAATTTACCAGAAATTAAARTTCTGATKGAAACATTCAGATGTTGAGCCTCAGAAAACTTA